CCCACACACACACACGCATACACACACGCACACGCGCACACTCACACAAACAAACAAAAACAAACGCACAAACAAACAAGCACAATTCATTAATAAAGTTCACCCAAAATGTTCAAGGAAAACAAAAGATTAAAAATCGGATCAGGTTTGTCCCTGAACATTTGTTGATTAGGTGCTTACCAAATTCATAACCAAATTATACATACTGTAATTAGTCAAGACAATCTACATTAGCCCCAAGTAATTTCATTTTGTGTTTAATCTCTCTCTCTCTCTCTCTCTCTCTCTCTCTCTCTCTCTCTCTCTCTCTCTCTCTCTCTCTCTCTCTCTCTCTCTCTCTCTCTCCCATTGATACTGATTCGATAAATAGGTTGATGAGCCGTTGCACGTCAATGACAACCGCCTCTCGGTGTTATTGAAATCAATACTACAGGAGGTTATGAATAAGGCGATGGTACACACTTTTGTTTCATTTTTTTTTAAACTGCTGAGCTCATGGTGAGTTACTGCTATTTTCCCAAAATAAGAAGATAACAATAACTTCACATTAGGGAAGTGGGTGTGAGCTATAATCTGGCCATTATGTTTCGGAATTCACCCTTTTTCAATAATGATTATGTTCGTCGTTCAGTTAAACCTCGCTTCTTTTGAAACCAATTCTGTGTTACAAACTGTAAAAACCTCATCTGAAACTTCTCTCTTGAAAACCCAATAGGACACAGGTTCCCAGTTTGAGGAGTAGTGACGTATGTAAAAAAAAAAAAAAAGAAACAACGTTGAATTCTTTGCCAGCATTTCTACTAAGTAACAATTATTCCCAATTTGGTTGTTTTTTTAAAATAATAATATAAGCATAAACTTTGAACCCAACCCTCACCCCACCCCCACCCCAACCCTTAGAATTTAAAAAATAAGTTAAAAGCATCTTTCGAGCATGACGTGGAAAGGGGGGGGGGGGCAGTTTAAGTTCACTTTTTATTCACAAACCGGTAAGTGTGCCTATGTGTATTTCACATCAGCACAGTCATAAAGTGGATCACAACGAGTAACCTAATTTACCTCATGAAATAAAGTAGCCTACATTGCATGTTTGACCCGGGCTCTGACCCCACAGGTACATTCGGATTACTTTAGAGAGTCAATCCTGTACCAACACGACATACATTTTATAGCCCGAATTACTTTTACTACACACATGTGTCTCGTCTCCTTTTAACATTTTACCTATATGTGCACAGTATCATTTTTACCAGGCACACACCCGTCGTGGGTTTCAAGTCAGATCTCAGACACGGGGAGGACATAACAATGGCGCATAACCCCCAGAACTTGGAGGTTTGGTGATATCAAACGAGTTAATATTTGAGAAGGCGGGGGAGGAGGGAGAAGACTGCCAAAATGTCAGTGGGCTATGCCAATTTGCACACATCCAGCCAGAATAAAGGCGGTTAGGGCCAACCTGCCGAGATCTTCTTCTTCTTCTTCTTCTTCTTCTTCTTCTTCTTCTTCTTCTTGTTCTTCTTCTTCTTCTTGTTCTTCTTGTTCTTCTTGTTCTTCTTCTTCTTCTTCTTCTTCTTCTTCTTCTTCTTCTTCTTCTTCTTCTTTAAGTGCCAAGTCTAAAAACAGATATCGGCGATCATGGTCTTCTACTCGTTCCTCAACTCAAATGCTCTTTTTAAAAAAAATTTAAGCCCTGCCGCTGTAGCTTCACTTGCCAAACTTTTGGCCCCACTGCCAGTGAGATGAATGTAGTTATTTATTTTGTTTGGGTTTTTTTTGTGGGGGGGGTCACATCTAACAGGTATGGACGTTTTGTCTTCTTGTGTAAAATTATGATTGGGAGAAACTCGAATGTCCCATGTACATGATGCACACGTTAAGAATGGATTGGTAGTTGAAATGTGAGGAAGAGCGAAAAGATCAGGTCTTAATTCAGAGGATGTAGAGGCAAAATTCTTATTCCTACCGAAAAAAATAGTCAGTTTACGAGTAAATGATAAAGAGTAGCCCTGAAAACGACATATGACTGTGGGGAAAGACAGAGACGATACGCCCAAACACGAAAAACGACCATATGTGTGGGGGAAAAAAAGGAAAAAAAAAGGGGGGGGGGGATTTTTTGAAAAAATCAGTTGCCCTCTGGACTGTGGATCAGTAGACTTATTCTTAGGTCTCGAGAAGAAAAATGTTTTGGGCGTAGGGCCTATTAGGTGCGTTTGGATTAGGGTCTATTAGATGCGGTTAGATTAAGAAAATGTTTGCTCCCAGAGTGATTTTTTCTCTTGTGCTATGAACTCGTCACCTTGAAATCATGTTTAAGTCTTCTGTCAAAAGGGACAATAGGTTTCTTTTTTGGCTTAAGATATCGAATTACATATTCCAAAATATAAACCAATCGCATTGAATTCTTCAATAAAATATTCAAATCAAATGATAGATATCTAGACTATTATACCTTTCCGTTCAAATAAAAATTCAATAAATTAAATAGTATAATTACAGTCGTATATCCCATCACTCCAGCGGGAGACCCATCGATACAACCTTGGCTAATCCATTCCTTATTGTACAGTCGAGTACCTTGGGAGACAGGTCACATGTTACAAGATACGTGCACACGAAAAGAGCCATTCAACCTAATATCAAAGAAAATGTTTCTTTGTCCGATCGTGAAAATAATATAAACTATGAATTTCCCGACTGAAGCACCTGTCGTTTAAAGGGTTAAGGGCATGAGCCTACAAGGTTAAGGCCCTTGCGCCCACTCGTCTCACATTCCCCCCTAACGAGCTACAAAAACAACGACAGCTGGTGTCGAGGTGGGTGGTCACTGCGACCCCATACTGAGGTAAAATGTGACGCAGGTCACCACAACCTATCACATTTTGGGAAAGAAAAAACACCTTGAGCCGTTAATGCACTTTGAATGACACTTATAGGATGCAGGCCACTTTTGGCTTCGAAGAAAGATTGGTCAGGTGTAGGTGGCGAGATCAACTGGATGAAGCTTTCAAACAACCAATTAATGCCTCTGAGGGCTGATAGAAGTAAAAGAGTTAATTTAGAACATTTCGATTACCAAGAATGATGACAAAACATAAATAAGTTATGCATGTACGTTCTTGATAACAGTAGCCATTATCATTGTTTTTAAATTGTGCTGCTGATTGCTCTCTCATTAAAATATATAGATACATACAAACGTGTGTGTTATCACTGTTTTCAGTGCACTCATGGAAACTGGGGAGAGATTAGAAGGGTATAAATATCACCATTACAGGTCAACTGAGAGGGATATTATGTACCGTTTACCTCAAAATTGAAGGCGTTTCTTAAAAAGTTAAATATTTTTATTTTCAATCTCTTTCTTTACTTCTTTGTGAGACTGATTATCAACTACAACAATACAAAAGCTA